GGCGGCCAGGAGGGTGAGCGGGGCAGAGGTGAGAAGGGGTGGAAGGCGAAGGGGATGAATGAGTGCCCCAGGCCGAACTTTCTCGGCTGTCCGAATCATACTGGCCGTTGTGCTCGCTGTCGACAATTAAAACAACAGTTCAAGACGCGGCGGTGTAGCTTTCGTGCCGCGGGTGGAATTCCGTTTTCCAGCCTGTGCAGCGACTGCACCAAAGTGGGGTGCATAAATCGCGCGGGTGCCGAATATTCGGCTGCCGCCGCGTCGTCCACTTCTCTCCACCGTGCTGAAAGAGAGAAAGAGAGAAACGGATAGAAGGGGGCGGGGAAGGGGGGAGGGGAAAGAGAGTCCGCTGCAACTCTCCGGGTGCAGTCGAGACATACGTATACACACGCGACACACGCACGCACACATACGCACGTACACACCAACGGCCCTCCTATTTATACCGCGAAATTCCCGGAAGGAGAAGGCAGATAGCATCGAACCACCGACATGTACGAAAGGAGGACCTACCTATAATTTTCCCCCGATTCGTGGCTGTCGACCACCGGCCACCGGCTGCACGCATATCCGCATTCAATCAAGCCGCGCACCGCGAACACCTCACTCCTTCTCTTTCTTTATTTCTCCTTCTCCCTTTCTCTCTTTCTCTCTCCCTTTCTCTCTCTCTCTCTCTCTTTCTCTTTTTCTTTCCCTTTCGTCTTTCTCTCTATCCCTTCCCTGGCTCCCCGTCAGCCCCCCGTGTCCTCCCTGTGCGCGGTCGCGAGTTCCATGACTCTCTATTCTCTTTCCTATCTTTTTCTTCTCGTCCGCGAGCGGAATGCACGCGCCGTGCTTTAGGTCTTCGTTTTTCGTTCGTTCGCCCGTCAGAGAGAGCAGAGTTCTCGCGTTGGGGGTGGCGGGCAGAAAGGGGAGGATCTAGAAAAGCTGCCGTCGATACTCCTCGCGCCAATGTGTCGACGAGTGGCTACCGATTGATAACGCTCGTGGATTTTTATTGTGTGTAAATCGACAATTTACAGCCGTCGTTCGTGAGTATCTACAGCTAGCTTTGTTGAAACAATGACGGAGTCGCACGTAAAACGCGTGTCCATGAACTCCCTCGCGCACGTTCGAAGATTTCAGCAGAGAAAAAAGAAAAAGGCCGCGGCACGTAGTCGTGCAAGGTTGCGTGCAACCGCGTAGCAGTAACCTATTCGCGAGGGGTACAATGCGTCGGCGTGAGCATTTTCGGTGATCAAAGATACAAGCGAGTTTTGGTCGTTATCCTTGCAGAAGATGCCTAAATTGCTTACCGTGTTCCCAAAAATAGTTAATTGCACACGGTTGCACGCAACGTGAATTGCATATCGTTTTTCTCTGTAATTTTTGGCAGAAGGGAAAAAATATAAAAGAAAAAACGCGGCTCGACACCCCACGAAACTTGGAGATAATTTTCTCGACGTTCAGTCGCATGACTGAGTCGCAATGTTAATGTGTGTTCTGAGAATGTGGATTATATATTATAAAATTAATTTTTTTTTTCAATATACACGATGTGTTTAAATGAGTGGAGATAAAATAGAAGAATGCCCGATTTAATATATCTTTATACGGAGAGAATATTGTAGGAAAAATTACAGTACAATTTTAGTAATCTGAGAATAGACTGACACTATTACGAAAATTATAATAAAACCTAGTATACCTAGTAAAAATAACTATAAGTATGATAATTTTTACTACATTTATAGTAATTTTTATTATGTTCATGGTCACTTTTATTATGTCTTATTATAATTTTCATTATAGTGTCAGTCTATTCCAGGAATAGACTGACTAAAATTATTCTAATTTTTACTACAATATTCTTTCTGTGTAGATTTTGGATAAGGAATTTATATGATTGCGTGTAAATTTACGTGAACGTGCTGTTTAAATCTACAATTTTCCTAACAGATAAAATAAGGAAGCAGGGAGGATGCGCGATGAAACTATCAGCGTCTTCAGAGCTAATTTCTGAATCGAGAACTTCAAAGAGACCGATTATAACTCGCGATCGTAAGGTTAATATAATGCAGCCCACAATCTATCGCACATCGCGGGCGATGAATTTCCACTTTCATTCAGATTTCTGCACACGAAAACGCGCAGTCATCGGCTTCATTAAGCTCCTCTATCGTCTACAAAGCGGTCGACGCGAGACAACGCGAAAACGCTAGCGCTATGGGAATTCTGAGAAGATAATATTTGCCCCGATGGCAATCAACCGTCCAGACGGCGGCCAGACAAGACAATGATAGATCAATCTTAGTCTCGCACGCTCGGATGCACGTCACGTCAACCCGTTCACCCGCTTCGCGACCTCACGATCGTGTTTGCCGTCGGGCAAAGGCTTAGGGAAGAGTCACCGACGACCGTGACCAATTAACAAAAGCACAGCCGCCGTTTTCGACAATGAGGTAAGCGCGTCTTCCTTCGTCCATCAGTCAGTCAGTCAGTCAGTCAGTCACCCTCGACCGACGATCCGGTCGGGAGGTCAACGGTAGCGGGAGGCAGACAACGCTGTGTAAACACAGGAAGTGGCCGATGGGTGATGATGATATGGTCATCGGTAAGCCTTTCTCATCGGCGTGCCATCTCGTCATGTTAAAAAATGCCTACGAGATTGAGAAGCTCGATAAGCAACTAAAAGGAGTCTCTTTTCCTCGCAAACATCTTGCTTGAGATATTTCGAGGATTTTTTTTTCTGAGAATTCTTGTGGAATTAAGTGGACGCCACAGTGAGTAAGAGAATTAAAATAACATGTTTACGAAAATATGTTTACCGAGGGCTAACACTTTTTAACTCGAGTCTGCATTCCAAGAGTTATAATGTAATTATTACAGATAATTATTTCTACCTGGGTGATTAAATTAATCGTCTTTGAAGGAACGCGTTATGTAAAGATTATACAGAAACCCCTATTTATCTAAGAGAGAACTTTGCAGCATATAGATATATTTTTTTTTATAAATCAGTACATTGTTTCACAATTAGCGTTTGTTAAACGAATTCGTAAATTTGATTTTGCTTTAAATATTCGCTAAATGTACTTGTAAGTGCGGTTAATTAAGATATGAATATGACTTACATACTTATCGGGAGCTGTGTGTGTATGTGACCGTATGGGAATGTGTATATATAGAGCGTGATCGACAAGGAACGATGGACCAGAAGTGAATGCTGCACTGAGTCGTAGATGCAGTGGTTAACTTCGTTGACGGAACCTGGAACAATTTTAAAAGATTACAGAGAGAGAGAGAGAGAGAGAGAGAGAGAGAGAGAGAGAACATTTCAACGCGCATTTATCCAAGTAAAACTACCCAAAGAGAACACAAAATCACGATGACGTCAAAATGACAAAAAAGTGATTAAAGAACTCGATCACGTTTCGATCATATTCTCGTCAAAAAATATCGATTTTTTATAATCACTCACATATTTAAAAAACATAGAACATAAAGGATGAATTTTTATTATCGAACTTACGCCGTCGTGATTTTCTGTTCTCTCTGAATAACCTCTATCGCTGGATTTCATCGCTACGATGAATATCGGACAGTAATGTCATTTTTCTCTCAAAAAGAGATGCTGTATTTCAGAAATACTTTTTACGTATTGCGTTGACGTTACATCATCATCGTTTATGCGTATCATAAATATTCATTTTAAACTGTATAACCGAAACCTTGAACTTGACGACATCGTTTTCCGATATCTTGGATATTATCAAAGCACATTCGAAACCAATGCGCGCTTCAACGCCTGGCGCGTAATATTGTAAGACCTTGTTAATCTATAATCTACTAATTACTTTATAACTTACAATTATTCCGAGATTTCGCAACACACGTACGCATCGTTCTTCCGACATGTTACAATTTGCGCGCAATTTGACTTGGAGCTTCAGAAGAACTTTGCCGAGATGGCGGTAGCATACAGTGGACTTCTCCGACGAATCCTGCCAAATAAACGTCTCATGCAAAGATGGCTAAAAGAACCAATGTCTAAACAATCAAAAAACATCGATTTTTTATAATCACTCATATATTTAAAAAACATAGAACATAAAGGGTGAATTTTTATTATTATATGAAAAAAATATCGGGTCTCTGAGATGCACTTAATGGACCGCCTGGCACCATCTAGCGGTGTCAGAGAGAGAGACTTTCATGTCTAAAGGGACGTCTACATTGGAAGTAAATAGCAAGAAGTAGGAAGTAAGAGTAAGAAATTGATCAACCACAGTCGAATGTGAGAAGAATAATCAACTATGATTGGTCAATTTCTTATTCTTACTTCTTATTTCTTACTGCTTACTTCCAATGTAGACGTCCCTTAAGGCTGCGTTCCTTTTGGGCGCTCACGCGCTTTAAGCGCTTATAAGCGTCACTCTATCTTTCTTCCGCATCTAATAAGCGATAAAGATAGAATGGCGCTTACAGCGCGTGAGCTGTAAAAAGGAATGCATTAAAGCGTCGTCTACAATATGCGGTAGGCTTGGAATAAGAAGTAAGCCGTAAGAATTGGCCAATCGTAGTCGATTATTATAAAAATAATCGTCTATGATTGGTTAATTCTTACGGCTTACTTCTTACTCCAAGCTTACTCCGCATATTGTAGACGACGCTTAAGTAGTACGACTCAACCACAAAGTGGACAAATTTTTACTTCTCAACATTATCGAACAATTGTTCGAATATATTGTTATCTCCCTTCATTAATAAAAAAAAAAAAAATAATAAGCCTTTCTAACACGTAATGTATTATGCTACCAGCTACATTTAAATCTATAATAAATTTTAAACTAATCCAGACAATATATGCATGAACACACAAAAGCCTTATCAATCATTCATTAAAGTTAAATAAAATTGAATATTATTACAGCAAATTAAAAAAACTACTAATTAAAACGAAAACTTTGAAAATAATCGATCTTTTGATTCACTAATCCACTAGCGTCTATACTTGACGAATGAATGACTAGCATCAGTTAAGAAGCCAGTAGTGGGACAAAATCAGTATATAAAGGTCGATGATAGTAGAAAAAAAAAAATAAACGTGGTTGATGTAGTAACGATATCAGAGAGCACGTGTATGATATGCAAGATGCAAATAACATGAAATGCGAATAGTGATTGTCATAGTCATCGTGTAAGAGGTAACCCTAGTATTGATTATTATCACGTTATTATTATTTTTTTTCTTTATTCTCACAGAAATCTTAGTAGATTCCTTGTAAACATAAAGATATTTGATACAAAGTGTTTTGTGAAAAACATTATTATAAAATAGATATTTTTATGCAATGTACATTGTGTTAATTGTAATTATTTATTTTGATATCAGTATTGTATTTGAATTTTAAAAATATCAATAATGTTAACATTTTATATAATTGCATCATACATGAATCATTGCAAATTTTATATAAGTTTATTTTATCAATCAGAACTTTTGATATTACTTTGTACAAATAAGCTATGCTTAATGTTATATTTATTTCAGAAGTTTATAATTTTTTGGAGTTCTATAATTAAACATCATGTGGGAAGAAAGCCTGAATACTATTGTTTTACCTACACTGTCCACCATGGTTTTTTTTATATTCACCTTCAATTTCTTAAGGTATCTCATGGGTGATCCACATATTCAGATTAGAGATATCACAAAGGAACATAGTTGGAAGGCAATCAAAGGAATAACTAAGGTACTTTCAAGGATTACGAAATGTGTTCTGTATTCCTTGTATCTTATATCTCTGTTATTCACTGGATTTATTCAGTTTGTGCCATGGTTTTAAAAATAATAATGAAATATTAATATAAATATGTTACAGAAATATTTTTTATATATATGTATTCATATACAGGCATATTACTGTAGTATTTGTGAAGCTTTATTGAATATCAGTGGTCTTTACTGTGATTCTTGCGGTGTGTGTGCGGACCAAGGTTGTGTAAAGCTTGCTGATAAGCAACTTAAGTGCAAGTCTATTACTCTCACTAATGATCAATCAATGAAACATCATTGGATCAAAGGTGTGCTTGCTAATTATGTTTACTAATTTCAAATAGATTCAATGTTTTTCACTCAATCTTTTCAGTTATTTATTTTTCATGTTTCAAGGTAATCTGCCACTTGTTGCCATTTGTTACATCTGCAGAGAAGAGTGCGACATAGAACCTGGTCTCACAGATTGGTGGTGTTGTTGGTGTCAGAGATGTGTTCATGAAGCTTGCAAACCTGTTCTTTCTGAAGTAATAATCAGCAAAATATTTCCTTTATATCGACATATTTCATTCTGTTAAATAATTTGTAGGAGTCAATTATGTTTTCCTTTCAGATATGTGATTTTGGGACGTTTAAATTAATGATTATTCCACCAGGGAGTTTAGAAGTGATAAATCGACGTAGAACAATGAGGCGCAGATTACACCTTCGTTCCATTATAACACCAAATTGGCCTAAATGGAATCCAATTATTGTTGTAGGTAAGCAAAAATCAAAATCAACAATTGTCTATAAAGTATCTACACAGATGAAGCAATATTATTAAATAAATAAGTCATCTTTTCATGATACCTGTCTCTATAGGAAATAGAAAGTCTGGGAATAACGACGGAGGCCAAATTCTATCTCTGTTCAGAAGACTATTAAATCCTGCGCAGATCGTGGATTTAGCAGAACGCGATCCGGTCGCCGCTCTCGAATGGTGCCGCTTGTTGGGAAAAACTCCGTGCACTGTTCTTGTTGCAGGTGGTGATGGAACGATTGCTTGGTTGCTGAACACCATTCATAAGCTTAGCTTGAAGGTGATTTTTGTTTTCTTTTTTTTTTATTATGATCACACACTAGTATATTACCTCAACACAAATACAAACAAATATTTTTACACGACACAGCCTGTCCCATCTGTAGCAATAATTCCTTTGGGGACAGGCAACGATTTGTCCAGAGTATTAGGATGGGGAAAGGAACATGATAAGCATATGGATCCGGTCGAAGTCCTGCAGAATATACGGATTGCGCAAGAAGTAAAGCTTGATAGGTATGAAATGAAAAATACTTTTATATCACCTATTAGATCTAGTTTCTGAACAAGTTTCTGGGATTTAGATGGTCCGTTATGATAAAACCATACGGCGGACTGGGATTCAGAGGATCAGATCGGACACTGTTTATGTACAACTACATAAGTGTGGGTGTGGACGCACAAGTAACTTTGAATTTTCATCGTACAAGAGAGAGTCGATTTTACTTGTTTAGTCATAGAATATTCAACAAGGTATCTTTCTTCATTCAATAAATAAGTTTCTTGTTTATTCATACGATTTCAGTAGAATTTGTATACTTATATGCATTGTAGTTATTATACTTATGCTTTGGCACGCAACAAGTCGTGGAAAGAGAATACAAAGATCTTGAACAAAGTTTAGAAGTCTATTTAGACGACCAAAAAGTGGAGTTGCCTTCCATTGAGAGTGTAGTGATACTCAATATTCCATCTTGGGCTGCCGGAGTCGATTTGTGGAAAATGGGAATGGAAGGTTAGTCTATCTATCTAATAAAAATTTCAGTATTGAGAAATTTAGGTTTAAAATTATCATATGTCAAATATCAACAATATGTTAAACAGACGAAGAACACGTGAATGTACAGAGTATTAACGATGGCAAATTGGAAGTAGTAGCTCTTTACTCTTCATTTCATATGGCTCAGCTACAAGTAGGCCTCTCAAAGCCACATCGAATTGGTCAAGCTAAATCTGTAAAGGTATTTGCAAGATTAAATTATTATACAAATTTTCTTGTGTACGCAATTATATATAATGTACGATGTATTATTTGTATCACCTAGATCAAATTACTACGGTCGTGTGCTATACAAGTGGATGGTGAGCCATGGTATCAACACCCTTGCGAATTCAACATAACGTATTGCAATCAGGCATCTATGTTGATGAACAATGCTGACTAACTGAGCACTTTCAAATGTGGTATCGCATACATTTTATGTGCATTTGTACAAATGCATTTATTCGTGTACATGTCGTTGTTCGAGTAACGATATTCAACTCGCATAAACTCGATTATAAGTCAGCTTTTTGATGATGTGTAGTATTTACAAATATTATACAATTTGTATTGATGGTATTATGGAAGTAACTAAGAATCTCTAGTCAGTTACTCCTAAGTTATATAAATTGTAAGTTGCATGTGATATAAATTGTGTTAATTATATAATAATTATATATTAATTATATAATTACATATAATTATTAATTACATATACATAATTATAATAATTATATAATTATTATATAGTGATATATACGTAGTGACTACAATTAAATATATGACATGCAGTGTATTAATTAGTGCAACATTTCTAACGCCGTTGTACGTAAGACGCTTATGAAATATTGACGTTTTAGTGAGATTAAGATCTTTTAGATGTTACAAAAAATATTTTTTTATATAAAGCTAACAAGCTAACAAGAAATAATGTGTTGTATTTTTATTTACTCCTCTTTTATTACATATTAATCCTGTCGATGTATCACAATCGACCCACGCATAATCAACTAATTTCAGGTGATTGAGAAATTACTGTAACACTTCAATCTGAGTTATACGAATCTCTTTCAACACATACATTTGGAAATAATCTGAGAAAATTACGTAAACGTAAAATTTTTACATCAAACAATTAAACAAATGTAACAAGAGAATTAATTTAATAGAAACTATGACAGAACGCCAATTGCAATTTGCACTCCTTTTGATTACTGTTTGGATAATGCACGAAACAGCTAGAATGATGAAGAATATTGATTAATCAACAATTGGAAGAGTGAAATTAATAACTGTCGTGAATATTTTTGGATTAATTAAGAATGACGAATGTTAATATTCAAAAATTTATGATCCGAAATATGACAGATAAAAATTACCTGTAAGTACGTATTAAAATTGAGAAAAAAATAATTTATTAAAATACAATTATTATTATTATACAATTATTATTATTATACAATTATAATTGATAGACAAATAGAGAAAATGTAAATTTTCATGAGAGATGACAAATTACTGTTGTTAACATTTTTCATAAATATTTCGCGTCGAGATAATACGAGTAATCCGTATCTCTCCGAGCTATTAAAAGGATTCCTTTTTGAAACAAAATCCGAACTGATCACATTTGTATCGAAGGATTCTGGCGAGTTGCGGCGGGCCGCAATAAAAGACTGTGATCTTCCCTTTTTTCCTATCCTGGAGTTGCTTGAACACCTTATCCCAATTAGGACGGCCCGCATTTGTCCTGGTCTTCAAACCTGTGATGAGATCACGCTTCTCCTAATTAACAAAGAGCAACATCAATGAATAAGAGAATTGTAAACCAAGTTTTATCATTTATACAAATGTCACACACTTGAACACTCTCACCTTTTCGTGCAGGAGATCCATCGCTAATTGCAAGCCGACTGCTTTCATATCATTCTTCTGCAACGCGCTCGTGATGTACATATGCATCTCTAAAAAGCGTTCCATGGTGATACCTAACTCGGCCTGTTCCATCTCGAGTTGAGACAGTAAGTTCACAAACCACTCAAACGAACGTTGATCACGATTGATCCAGAAGAAGTCCACCTGTGAAAGATGTTCGGCTACATTTAAATGTTTAATTAAGATATTTCGCTACATCTCTAAACACAGTTTATCATATTCAATCACGCGTTATTCTGCGAATATATTATGTGAAAAAAATTATTACTTTATTTAATTTTATACACGCAGAAAAAGGATCAGTCGCAGGAAAATATAGCTGTTGCAGCTAAAATGCATTATTGAAATAATGACAGCTAATGTCATTACTATTGAAGCTAAATTTATTAGCCATTTGAACTTCGGTGCTATAGGAAAAATATTCGCCGTTAGACACATACAATAATAATAAAACTGCACTTTATCTGCCAAAAACATAGAACTGACGCTTCGCACTGCGAAATCCAAACCAAGATTTCCCATTGATTTTTAACGTAGATTAATTCCCACGTTTATGCAAACACAAAAATCAATATCTTTTGTACCTATATAAATATACTAATTGACCCTTAATTCACCAACGAACAATCCCACGTTCATCAGAAGCGCGATAATTTCCCCTATCCAGCAGTTTTTGTTTCAAATCGCTACGACGTCTACAAGCAGAGCTATTGATAGTTATATCGATCCGCGTTCGCGATCAGCCGGCGTTGTGTGGTGGGTCAGCGCACCTGTTTGTTTACGTATACATTGTAGCGGCACCGCGTGCCGCAGCCGCATTCCCAGACTATTTTGGGAAGCGGTATCTCGCGCGAACGTGACGGCACGCTCTTTACTGACCTGCCCCACTCCGCGGCCTTGCCCCACTCCACGGCTTTGCTTCACTCCGCGGCCTAGACAAGCGCTGCCGCTTCGACCACGCTCTCGCTTAGACTACGCGGTCTCCTTACCACGTGGTCACCTCACCATTCGCTTCAGTTAGAGAGACAAGTGCAGCATGACAAGAAATATAGTGCCAGAGAGAGAGAGAGAGAGAGAGAGAGAGAGAGAGAGAGAGAGAGCAAATTCCAGTGTACAGGGTGTTGCACTTACATACAGGTCAGTACGACGGGTTGCCTCGTCGACAGGCGTGCGTACCGTAGACCTTGGCGAAATTGTCACGCGTGCAATTGAACGCAGTAAACTTCATAGGAAAGAAAGCGCGCCTGCAGACGAGGCAACCTGTCGTACTGATCTGTATGTAAGTGCAACACTCTGTACATACCAATGGCGTGAGGACCGAGCAGCATCGATATCTGATGTTGATGCCGCGTTTTTAAACGGCTATAACTCGCGAATTAATCGATGTAGCGACATAAAACAAAAAGTAATCTTTTTGTCATGCATTCTTGCACATTTCTATACTACTCTTTTATTGTTCATTTGGAAGAATTGAGTGTTGTGATCGATTAAAGTACAGCAAACGCGCTTATGCGGCATGACTCAACATGAGCAGTACACACGTATAAGATATTTAGAAATAATCTTTATTTTTTTCTTAGTTATTCGAACAAATGTGCGCTTTTAATTTCAGCTAATAAATTTGTATCTCATAACGAATGCATTATACTTATAATAGTCAATGACAGCAAAACGATTAGTCTTTTAGCTAAGTTCGAATCAGCTGCTAACATTTAATTAATATTACTACGTCATTTCTTTGAGTATTTTAAATATCTTGAATTGAGTATTCTCAATGTTTCATTGATGAACCACTCGTGCTTTAATAATTCCATTAATTTCATCTCAAGATTAGCAAAGCGAGAGTTGAGAAATTTTAACAAAACTACACTCACCTTTCGTAGATTCATCACGGTGTGCGGGATTTCGCTGGCCCAGGAAAACGAACATTTCGGACAGGTGTGCCTCGCTTTCCAGTATCGATGCATGATCGATTGTAATATAGAGGCGAAAGGCGTAACTCCAATTCCTGTGCCGATTAGGACGGCGTGTTGCGCTCGAAAGATGTGACTCGATGGCGCTCCGTAAGGACCGTCCAGGAAGATCTACGATGACGACGTGTTACTCAGAATCGAAACGATTTAATTGAAATCATAAATCTCTCAAAGTCTTGAAGATGTTGCGGAAAAAAAAGTTGCATGAGAATCAGAGCTAGATACTTTACCTCCAATGGCTTTCCTACGGGGTAATTTATGGGCGGATGAGAGGAACCTTCAAACGACAAGTCTAAGCTTCCTGAACTGTTTGTGCTAATTTTACTAAAATTTTTTCTTAATCTTCCTTCTTCCATAACGATTTGTACATCCACTGGTGCGATTGGTGTCATCTCATTTGCCCCCGCGTTTGCATTGGACGCTGTACACATACGTGTACGGGTAAAAATATTATTACAATACGAATTTGTATTTTATAAGATGCCACATTTTATACAATGACGCATGCATCTACATAAATGTTAAATATATTCTAAATCAATCTTAACGTCAATCTATCTTTTTTTCAGTTATTAAAATCACGGTTATAAATAATGTAAATCACTTCTGATAATCGTCACTATTATGATAATATTTCAATATCTCCTCGCGCTATATTCTACACCTCTGCTTTTATAATTCTTTACAATTCTTTACAATATTTCGAAATGAAGGACATCATTATTTTTTATACTATTCACCGGAGTTTGATGGTGCATCGATGTCGTAACTGCATGTTTCGAAGCTGGGTGTCTTAAAAGCGATGATGGTCGGCTTCGTCCGCATGTATCGGAAGCTCTGGGCCAGTGATTTATTTTGCGGACTCAGATATGCCAAACCCAATGACTTCAATCGCGCGCGTTTCATCTGACTCTCGTCGAAGCTCCTCTCTGATTCTGACCTCATGTAATCACGAAGTCTGCGAGGCCATAAAAATAATATCTCACATGCATAAAATAATGCATTACAAATGACTGCGATTGTAATTCATATAATTTTTTACAGTAAATAAAGTATTTCATGATTCAACGAATGGATAGCGCGAGATAAGTATTACTTTTTTTTTGCGGGCGAATATAAGAATGTTTTATGCGTTATGTAAATCTACTCACACTCTAAGTCGTTCTTTCTTTTTTTTCTTCGTTTGCATGTCAGGCATTGAGTGTGACTTTTCGAGTGGTAGCTTGCTGCCAAGAAGCAGTTGATGAAGTCTCCTCTCTCTTCCCGGAATCATGCTTCTAGAATCCTGATTCGATCCTGGCGTATCTGTCGATTCAATATATGTGTAACTCAACATCAGCTCTCAAAATTTAATTTTCATTTAAGTTACTTAATTTATTTAAGTTTTATGTGTTTTATATCGATAACGTGATTAACATGAGAGAGAACTCTCGAATTCATTGTTCTCTCGACAGAATAATATACGTGAAATGAGATCGCGTGTCGAAGATATATCTTTATCTTGTAAGCAAGCCTTACTTTCCGGAGTTTTTAAGTATGCAGATTGATTATTAATAGGTGTACTCGTAGGTGACATTGTCTTCGCCAAATCAGATACGAACATGGGATTGTCGAGACCATACGGATGCTGTACGGATTCCGTCGAGGGCTTTTGTTTCACGATAAGAGGCGGTTTCTTGCCGTTGAGGAACCTACGCAATTGTGAACTCTCTTACATAGCGTGTAATAATCAGTCGTCCATTTTAATTCAGTGAAAATCAACTATTAGTATTACTTTGCATCTCGAGTCTTACATGTGCGTCGTAGAGCATAAGTCATCGCTGTACCAACGCTCTGTGACATGTTGACTACAAAAATAATAATTCAGTAATATTTAATCTTTAATTGAACTTACGATTTCTTACGAGGTGCAGTCGCGCTGTTCTCAATGGGTAAGATATCGCCGTGGTGAAGTTTGATTTGTTCCTTTTCAAAGTACGAGTACAAACTGTTGGTCCACTCGCCGACTGCGCGAATGTGCAGCCACATGTAATCTGTAATCTCGGCGTCAACGTTGTTAATCATCGCGCGAGCACGAGAGAGCGACAGGAGACGAAAATGTGAAGAACAATAAGGACTCACCTTCTTGTTCTGGAGCGCTGCTGATGGTGAACGGATGCCATTCGTATCTCGCTATTACTGGTATGTTGACGAAGACGTAATCACCAGGATGAAAGTGAAAATGCGGCGGTCTCTTGATTACCAGATGTGTCACTTTTGAAGGTAAGAGGAGGCCGGAACTTATATATGTCTTCCCGCGCTGAGAACGTAGCCATATCAGCCGACGGATCCTTTCCACTGAGTATATGATACCCGGTCCGATAAACCATTTCCAAAAATTTGGGCCATGGAAGATCATCAGAATCCAGAATGGTATGTACAGTAGATGAGACCAATAAAATACCTTGCAGAACGAAGGAAAGTTGCAAGAATTATGAGAATCCCATGAGAGTAAGTACACGGCGGGAGGAAGGGGAGGAATGGGAGGAAAATATTAAATCGTCGAAATATATCTCAGCTACGACATAAAGTCCGATATTGGCCGATATGTGTGTGATAAAAATCGAAGTACCTCGAAACATCCTCCGCGCCGAACAAAAGACATGGAACAGAGGGTCATGATGAAGAGTATAATGAGCAGAGCCACTCCAGTCGGATACGCACTGCCTGCCACTAAACCGAAGTGTCCAGGTCGACTTGTCAGCAACCACTCGGTCATCGTATAGTTTCCACTATTCATCTTTTCGTCTTTTATTATTACCGTGGCTGCGTGTATTCCATTAGAGATACAATTATTTCAATTCCATTAGAGAGTTAATTATAATTTTGCTTAGTTAGGAAATAGATTTCTCCCAAAATAGCATCACGGCTGCTTTTTTTTCGAGAACAAAATAGTCTTCAGTGTTTTGAGAATCGGTCAAGCGTGTTTGATGAATTGAATTAAAGAGCACTGGGAATTGATGTCAAATTATTGAGCATACCGCAATAGATAAGATGCATCAGAACGTGCATGATGCTGAAAACCCCGATCAGGAGTCCCGTCATCTTGTGGAGGTATATATGATGATCCAAAGGAACCACAGAGTTAAAGCCGTGCGTCCGCAAGAATGTGATGCACTGGCGCAGCATCAGAATCAAAATGAATGTGCAGTCGAAGTTCAGACACTGTCCTGAAAAATAATCTCGAGATTAGTTCAACTGATTCTTGTCAACCTTCAACTGATTAGAGCATGCATCATTAGCATAGCGTTAGATTTCTCTTACCGCATGCACGCGCGAACATCACGTAGCCACTGTTATGTCGGTATTCGTAGAGACGAGAAACGAAAAGCGCCACGTTGATGAGGATGAATATAGAGATGAAGGCGATGTAGACGTAATTGTTCTTCATGTACGGCTTCGTGAGCTGATACGGACGAAGAGACGAAAACACGCCCAAAGCAGATTTCCGTTTCGGTTTCGGTTGCGGTGGTACCAGCCATCGATCTATGCTACGATTGTTACGTTCTTATTTCTCACACTCACTGATTGGATGTAACAATTTAAGGATTAACAAAATGTCCCAACATAAAGAATAACAAAATCTCCAGGGAAAAATTTCAAAGAACAGAACAGAATTTTCTAAGAAGAAGAAGAAGAAGTAATCGAAACGTTAAAATCGGGAATTTACGAACTCTATAATTTTGAGAAATTTTGTAACTTCCGGCGCGTTTTGTAATTCTCTGTCAAACCTGATTGAGAGATTTTCCAGCAGACCGTCGTGCTTCTCCAGTTGCCTCTTCAGAGCCTCGAAAGTAATCGCTCCTCTGTTACCTTGATCGGCATCCTCGAAGAGCGCGATCGTTAGATCCTCGATTTGCTCATCGCTGAACTTCATTCCATTTTCCTCCATGCAGGCTCTCATCACATGTTCCAACTCGCGAAGTTGTATTAATCCGTCGCCTGTTCTCGTTGTTTAAGAGACAAAAATAACCTGAGTTTCATAAATATTATTTCCATAGAGTGAATTGAGATTTTAGACATTACCGTCGATGTCGTAAACTTTGAAGAGAAACTTAATCTTATCGTCCGGAGACTTCCCGGCGAATTGATGCATGGCATCCAAAAATTCTTGCAGCGATATTGCACCGGAATTGTCCTTGTCGAATATTTGGAAGACTCTCTCTGTGAAGAACGGCTGAAAGATGATTCCAACGAATATTATTATGATATTATAATTATTATAGTATTATTATTATCCTTAAATATGTAAATTCTTAAATAAAACCGGCTGTCTCGTTTCTTGGTAACTACATTAACAAAATTAATTGAATTGAATTGATTAATTGAATTGAAGAATGGAATTAAAACTTAAGTTCTGCGCTTGAAATGAAGAATACTTAGGCCTTCTCCCTACGTTCTTCGAAGTGACGATCTTTTTAAATTCCTCGCGCCGAATCTCTCTCTCGTTTCCAACAGTCTGCTTAAATATCTTCTCTAACCACTCGAGATTTCCTTTATCGAAGCCGGCAGGCGGTCTAAAACAAAAATTTGATCTCTTAATAGGTGAAAATTATTGTCCACGGTTTCATAGATTTAAGTTTTGATTATAAAAACATTCGTAAACAAACGTTATTGGTAGCTTTGTGATTAGTGTGTTACCTGGTTTTACTAATGCCAGATATGAACTCCATGATTTGGGTGGACGTAACGTATCCTGAGTTTTCTTGATCGATCAACCGGAACAGTTTGTCAGCAATCTATAGAAGGTACATCAAATAGACACAAAACATGTGTGATGGAGAATTTTTATATATCTGTAATACGTCGGGAAGATGAAATTTTGACACTTTTGAAAGAGTCGAAGAGAGTCTGGACGCGCTTACTCTTTTAGGTCCAATTCCACAACTTCCAGTTAACTGACTAGTTATTCCATTGGACTTGACCAATCGCATTTAACATTAAGAAGAGTTAATCAGAATTAAGATTATACATATGTATAATCAGATATACATATGTATTATCTCAGACTTCTATTCGTACATACATATGTATAATCATCTGATAATGTTTATCAGAGTTAAGTAATCACTATTGGAATTTAACCGGTAGTTAAAATGAAACGGATGTTGTGGAACTTGGCCTTAAAGTGAATCAGTAAATGGTCACCGATGTCAGTTATGAGTATAGCACTGAGCAGTTTCAATTCTATACTTATAACTGCAAATTAGTGTATATTCATTGCTTTCAATGATGTTTCACTGATTTAAGAGAGTATAGTTTAGATTCATTGAAATCAACGAGGAGGAAGCAAAAATTCTTTCTCTCGACATCTCACTGAAGTGACTTTTCTCAATGGAATCAGAACATACGCTGTATATCGCGAAAAATACGTGCAAAAGTTGTATACAAAAAAAATGTTTTCTACGGTCACTTGGTAGTACAGATTCGATAATAATAGACGAAGAAACGACGCGAATAACGTGTTGAGCTATATAAAAAGCGCTTGCAGCACGAAAAGCTCGTCTCAGCAGTCGCATCTTCGATTATATATGTATTTTTAAAACACTTCCAATCATGGTATCTCATCGCGCTGGCTATAATTACAACTACGGCAAATCGAGATTCCTTTCCTCTCATTTGCGATCCTGCCTAGATTCGTCTAATAATATTTTACCTCTTTCAATCTGCGCAATTGATCGTCATTCCCTCTGTTATAAAACATGCAATGTTTTATTTACCATACGTTAAGGAAATTATTATATACAATAAAAAAAGTGCAGTTAAAAGTTAATAAAATAAAATATTTGGACGGTAAATTAATAGCATAACACACGCGACTTATAATTTCATTTTTAATTTAGCATTTTTCCACAATAGGAATTTCTCGGTTTCGTCTGTAACTTCGCGTTGATTCAGAAATTATTTATGAGGACGAACATTACATCTTTAATTTCTCTCGTGTATATTTTCTTTAGAAATAAGAATAATGCAGCACTTACTCCTTTGGTGTGAAAGATCTGCTGAAAATTGACGAGATTTATTGGATTTTCCCCGCATAGCACGTACGCCACACTCTCGATTTGATCAACAAAATCCTTTTGCTTCTCGTTTCTGAAAAAGCGAAGACAATGCGATATTGGATGAACGTAGACGTAGCTGAAGTGCCGTCGGAAAGACACGGTGTATGCAAAAGTACAAATGTCCATAAATAATGGAAAAAAACGATGCTTACGTCAAGCGCCTCTTGAGAAACTCGATCCACTCATCTTGCTTCAGTAACTCGTCACGGTCCTGATCGAACAATATAAATAATTTCCCAAGAAGCACCTAAAAGATATCAATCAATTGTAAGCGGCGTGTAAACGTCATGTTCGCGACGAAGTTTTTACACTTATTACGTCTAATCAATTTAGTACTGAGCCCGTGCGACTGAAAGAGAATCGCGAGTCATTCGCGAAAGAAAAAGGACCGCGTGTATTTATTTAATATACGCGCATTTAACGCGCATTTAATGTGCATACAATGCGCTCACGCATTTCGAATATTATCTGGGGCAAAATTAATGCATGATAATGGGACAGTGATTTATTAAAATTCTAGCCTAAGGTGCGCACGGCGGCGACAGCTTTAACGTCGATTATGACGCATATCGATCACCATCGGCGCGGATCTCGGCAGCGGGTCTGTTACACGCACGTATCCACGTGCGTATTTCGCTCGCTCGCTCGTTAAGATATGGGTCAATGTCACGAGTGACTGCACCGCGTGCTCCCTCGGTACGTAGTGCGAGATCCAGAAACATATCCCAATATCGCTGTCGTAGAGTACAGACAGTGAGCGTGGCCTGTGCGAGGTGAGTACGTGCGAACCATTAATCTTGCTTCTTCTCCTCTTTCTTATTTTAATAGCGTCCTTTGAACGACCTGACGTCGGATTTTTGGCGTCTTGTTCGAGTTTAAGTATATACTTTGTTTTAAGACTTTAAGGGCGGATGTTGACGACAGAATTTTTAATAATTGAAATGAAACATACGTGACAACAATGTTGGATCTCCTTTGAAGGTGGTCGGAGGTATGCTGTTTTGTATAATTAATAATGAATTTTTGACATTTACAAAACTAAACTTCAGTTTTCTTGCATATCATTCAGATGAGATCATTCGCTATGAAAGAGCTAATTGAATTGTGTAAAAGGGTCTGTTACCCAAAATGAAAGGATCACTTGAGTATTTAGTTTTGCTATGTACGTCTAATACCAAGTAATTAAATGTGGATATTGCCATTAATGGGAGACATGTATCGAATACACGACGTCCATGCGAGAATTCCAGTATAGTCTAATCCGGAACCGCGCGTACAAAGGATGGCATTTTGCAGTGTAATTACGATGCCGTGACTAATCTGCGTCTCGCTTCTAAAATTAACGATGCGAGAAAGGAACGTGCCTCTGATGTCTCAAGTCAATCATTCCTAATTTTTTCTTCTCGCACGTACGCTGCGCAGGTGCGAAAGGGAGTCATAATCAATCACGATAGTTATGCAGGCTTGATATGACAAGCCACAATCGTCATTATGATACAATTCCGCAACGAAGGTTTCCGACTGAAAGGTCGATGTTGATCTTGCTATTCAATATTGGGAACACGTGTAAAACGTATGTATGTTCGCGCGCGGTATCTATTCACATGCTCTATTCATGCCCAGATCTATAACTCTCTCTATTCCACACCCGGTGACACCGCACATTTTGCGATGCAAAACTAATGATGATGTTTTTCTGCTTCCTACAATGATATTTCACGAATCACATACATTCGTTATTTTACTCGTGCTTAGGTTTCAAGTGAAAACAAGAGGCAGAGATTTTCCAAACCGCGCAAATTCCTTAGCGTTTCTTTGATAATATCTATTTTCAACGAACATATTTCTTGTATTTGCAACAGAGTTTCAAGCAGTACGCTCGTGGCGTTTCTCAGTGAAATAAATATCTCATCTAACAATAGCACAATCTCATCTCTTTTTTCTTCGATCAATCGGCTCTCGATATCGAAAGAAACGTGCACTTGAACGATGTGAATCGACACTCAACAATGCCCGGCTGATAATGACGGACGATAACGCGTCATAACGATGACGATTAAAGGGTTAATGGATGGTCAGTAAACGAGGTGTCGGCCCCAGCCGGCATCGTGTTCTACTCCACGGCTGGTACTCGCGATCGATCGATCGGTCCCAAGTGACGGAGGTGCTCGGGGAGCATCAAGGCCTCGCGCCCGAGGCGATCGGCCACCTTGATCGAAAACCGGAGGCCCTCGATAGAGACCCCCCGTTTCCTCCGATCGTATCGTCACCGCCGCCTCGGGTCTCCTTTTCCTACGGCGACGCGGATTCTCGAGCGTGAACTCATTGCCCGCCGATCGCGATCTCACGCGGAGACGATTGTCCGATAAAACGTCGCGCTGGGTCCCCGAGATCGCGAAACGTCGAAAACGCTCCACGGGCCCGATATGGGAAAACCCCACGTCGTCTTTATAGCGTAGCTCGCCTTATTTAGAGCGAGGCGTTTCCTTATAATTGGAAAAAAGAGAGAAAGAGGGAGACATACATATTATCGCGCGAGTGAACTCGATCTCTCTCAGAGCGACGTGCACTGAGAAAAAAATACTTGAAAATTTATTCGCGCGGGATATAAAGTCTATTCGCAGAAATAAATAATTTTACTTTGCAAAAGTAGACTTTATATCCCACAAATAAATTTCCAAGCACTTTTTTCCTAGTATTCCATGAAAAGAAGTAAGATCCTTCAGATCAAAGTTTTTCTTAGGAAAGACGATATTATTGTCGCAATAAATTGTAGCACAAAAAAGACTATTTGATTTTTTTCATCGATGACGATTGTCGCTCTTCAAATTTAACTGCGGGTTACGCTGAGAGATACTAATATTTCACGTATTTAAAACATCTGAAACGCGAAGATAAATGGGCCGAATTGAAGTTCCATGTTCGATCTATCAATGTCTTACACGCAATATGTACGCGTCACTTTTGTCAAATTGCGCGTTACGTAAATCGTAGACAGTATAATGACAGCACATTCCGCCGGAGAGGAAATGTGAAATGATTGACTGGACGATCGATTTCTACCTTGTAGAGAGCCGATATATTCGTGGCACGGTACCTTTATGGTCTATTAGAACAATCATGTGTCTAAGGCTCGTAATAATGTTACTTTTGAAATTCGTTCTATGTGAAATACACATATCCGAATTTAGAGTTAGATCTCAGTTTGTTATTTGAATTACTTAATATCTGTAACATTATATTTACAACCATGTTTCTGCTGAGAAACTCATATCTAACTCTAAATTCGAATCTGAGTATCTCACCTGAGGCAAGTTTCAAGTAATGATTGTTGATACAGACCTAAGAGATACGGCTCGCGTAATGATGAAAAATGTAATAAAAATATTGCTTTCTCACCATGCAACAAGTATATCCACTGCAAAATTGCGTGGAAAATTTTATCCCAATTCACCGAAAAGAATCCTGTAAAATTGAATAGAAATAGAACTGCTCACGCAATCCTGATCGGTTCTCAGACAAAAATTCCAACTGGTAAATCTACATCACGTTCCCTTTACCATACGTGTCTTACCTAAACCCGTCTTATATCAATCAGTCAGCATGTATATATCTTTTCAACGCCAGAGAGATGTTGGCTAAATGTCAAGTAATTCATTTATCAAGAAAGTAGCTTGGTTGGATCTTTACATCAATTTTCAGACATTCAATTACCTTTTTAGCGCGATCAATTACGATTCAAATTCGTGTTCTTACGGCTTTGGCTATCGATTATAAGGCTAACAAGAATATATATTATCTTGTTCTGTTCGGATATAAAGTAAATTATGATCCGAAGAAACGCCGATCACGAGGTGCTCTTGCTTTCTTTTTCGCTTTTTATAAGGATCGTAATCGCTTGACGAGCCAATATCCCCGGGACTTTGTGATGTAATTTCGAGGTTTCACGTCTAGTGCCACGCGAGCTTTTTTTTCCTGCGGTTCGCGAAAGAAAGTGAGACGGCAAGCCAATAATTACAATAATTGCAATTCCTCATGGCCACTTTAAGAAAGTGCCGCGACCAGATTGCCATTGCGAGGACGTTCCATCCTCTTTATTGTGGATCTGTGTCTGTGGTAAACATCAAAAAGGTTGCTTTGCGGATTGTATGCTGCTCATTTTTGCACGATGCTATTAAGAACATGCGGATATAATTATTTTATTCTCCTAGCAAAGTGATGTGTTTCGTGCAGATGCACACGACCTTCTCTCAAAGCAACTACCTTTACAAAGAAACTCATTTGGGAATCGCGCAATTCAATAATATAATAGCAATCAACCTTTTTGTCTGCGAAGAGGTATTTTGCTTTTGCTACGTTTTGCTTACAATCCATTATTTATCAAATGTTTTCATCCACTCCATTAACCGTGAAACTTGAGGTCTGTGTATAGAATTAAGACTTTTACAAGTATAAATGACGTCAGCGCACTACTTAAATTGCTCGACCGTATTTTGTTTATCTCTGTTAAATCCCGAGCCTTCGGATTTACGATTTAATGATCTTGGCATTTAATAATGACCGCTTTTATAAAGTACGATACCTTTTACGCGATTTTACGCTTTCCTTCTAAGGGATAAGGTTTTTATTCACTTTGCGTGACGAGATACGTCGAAAAAGCCATCGTAAAATCAGTCCGTGTCGTAAATTTGAAATTACCGTATAACCCACGATTTCACAAATGAGAGAGGTAATTCTACTGCAGCCAGAAAAATCTTGACATCTTCATCAAACATTTATATGTAAATATCAAAAAAATAAATCTTTCTTAATTGACTTCCTTCTTAGATCTCTAATTTAATTAATTCACTAATCTTTACATTTCTCTGAAACCTCAAAATATCTCTGATATTCTCAAAATCCGCTGAGGAATTATCAAAGGAAAAATAACTAACAATTAGTTTTAGAATGTCGCTATTTCGTTGTATATTTTCATGTGTTACTATATTTATTTTATTATCTATTTTTTATTTCAGTTGTGTCAGAAAAGTACCTGATCGTGAAAGAGTCTCCTAAAGGCTTCCTTGCTGTAACGCCCGGATTTTTCTTCCTGCAGTATCTCTGTACACTCCTTCAGGGTAGTTGTTCTCCTTCTTTCAATCAGGCATTCTTCCTCCATACAACTGATATTTTCCTCCATGTTGCTGGCTACTCTTCGCAATGGGTGTTGTGAGAAACAAACGGGAGTGCCACCGAAGAAACGAGATCACTGCCACTTCGGCAATTCATCACGGGATCAACAAGATTCCTAGCATTTCTTGCCGCTCGCTCGTTCGTCGTGCTTGTCCGGGAGAAGTGTGATATAATAAATCACTTGTGTAAACGGAAAGTTACGTTTGTAAATTTGAACGAAATGGCAGAGAGAAGAATCAACATTCTAAGTATATGTTAATTGTAGGAAACGTCGAGAGGAGCGCGTCTTCTCCTTTAGTAAGTTATTCCAATGAAATAATCAAAATCATTGTAACTTTTCTGAATTATTAACATACGACATAGAACATAACAGACTGGAAATAATGTGTAAGTAAAAATATGCTTAAAGGTTATTACATTTGAATGAAACGATGTGCCTAATTCCTCGTTCTCGTCTTCACGGCTAACTCAAGTTAAATAAATGAAAATCGACTTAACGATGTATTTGCTGTCTTTACACGTGCTGTTTACCTTATCTTCACGCGAACAATGTAAATACAGCGACTCTACTTTGCGACTCTAAGATATAGTTACCGCCGGCATCCTTTTCATAACTTTCCTCGTCAATGATCAGCGATCTGTGTAATAGGAAAGCAACCGGGCACCCACTGATCGAAAACGTGTCACTTTCAAATTAGGATCAAAGTCCGAACGAAACTGGCCATCTCGTTACCGTCACATTTCCTTATGCGCAAACGAAAGTTCACCTCGACGACTCGGTCCCAGCCGATTAATTGATCGCACGTGTGCGCAGCTCTCCGTTCTACCTTGATACCCGCGAGAGAACGAGACCTTTAATTCAACGTACGTACGAAAACTCACTTATCGGCGCGTATCGGCGAGCGCAAAATCGCCGCGTTAACGTCTCGGCGTTACTGTAAAGTCCTGAATGAAAATCATCCTCAGGGCATCAACGAGAGCCGGCGCGTTCGCGCCGTTGATGATGTCGCCGGTTGGAAGTGTTGGTGCCGGAGCATAGCAAAACGTTCGTATTGGATCGCAGAGGGGAAAGAGGGGAGAGCATGGTGAAAGAAGGAGAAAGCGAGACGGAGAGAGGAAGGGAGACAGATAGATCGGTTTTGCCAGCGATCCAGATCGTGTGTGTGGGGATAGAGGAGACGGACAACCTTTCACTTTTTGACAAGCTCTGGGTTCCTCCATCTTCTCCTCTCCTCCTCCTTCTCCTCCTCCTCCTCCTTCTCCTCCTTCTCCTTCTTCTTCTTCTTCTTCTTCTTCACTCCTCCTTACGTTTTCCTTTTCCTTTTTCTCCTTCTTCTCCTTCTCCTCTTATCTCTTCGTTTTCTTTTCTATCTCTGTCTCTTTTCGATAGTAGAACCAAATCCATCTGCAGGTGTGAGCCAGGTTTTTATCGGAGACGCGCTGTCTTGTGCAAATTTGCGGAAAAACTGGCTTCACAACGAATGAATTTGCGTGTGTATATCCTTGTCGCGAGACGAGATAATTACTACATCGTCCCGGATGTTTGTTACCTGCTCAGGATTCCTCAATTCTGTTGCTTTTAATTTGCAAAAAATGCAAATATTTATATCAGTAGTTTCGATCGCGCTGTATGCCACTTTCAATCGTGAACATCGTTCACGCGGACGCGCTTTATCTCCGGAATCCACGCTGTGAATCCCACGCTTGTATTAATATTCAGCGCGTGATTTAGTAATTTCGAGGATCATTTTTTATCCTCAATTTTAAGTGAATTATCTTGTACGGTGCAATTACGTAATTACATTATATTTAATAGCCTGTAATTATATTACATGCACTTGCTATATACGACGACGTGAATATGTCAACTAATGAACATTACCGGCGTGAATGAAATATGATTATAATATTAAAATTGGATAATAAAAAATCTTCAAGACAACATTTACCATTACTTATAATTAAGGGTTATATAGTTGAGAAATGTAGTTGAGGATTGCCCCGGACAAGAAAGACAGACGTAAACGCGTCTGCAAATACTTACAGCTCATATCCTAAAGTGCGATTGTAGAAAATAATTATATTACACACGATTGAATATATTTGACATAAAACACACACATACTTTCTCTCTTAATTTGTCATTTAATTTATGAATTTGACATCATAAAAATTTTAAAATTTTGTTTGTAAAACGGTTTTTATACATCGTACGACTTCAAAAATATTTCATTAAATATATGAATTTAGCTTGAAGGTTTGGCTTTCGTTTTGACCTTCGTTTTTTAGCTTCTCTGAGATATATCACAAGGTCAAAAATTGGTGAGAAACACTTTCTGATCTCTTCTGTTGTTAGAGAAATACCAGTTTTATCTGAAAGTTTTTCGTTGCTTGAAACTTAAGAGAAAGTTACGGTTTATCGTATCTTAAAATCAAAGATTTTTCTCTCTACATTTTTCTACATTTTTATATGACGACATCGTTTATTATTTATTATGACGCAAGATTCGTGAATATCATTTTTTGTCAACAATGCCAATGAAATCATTAATCGTATGTCTCAAGATAAAAATTCTTCTAAATGCCGTGTAATTATTCAAGTTTCCATCAGAAATTGAACACGAGTCTCGTGTCATATTCGATCCATAAAGGTCGCCCGGACATGCGCTTACGCTTTCCTGAGCTTTGCACTTGCGCTTTACCAGTCGTCCATAAGCCGAGTCCTCGACAGGTTTTGTTTGCCTCCTGGTCTTGGTAGAGTCAACGATTGAGCCATGAAGGTATCCTGAAAATCGACGCTTTATTGAGATGAGTATCTCACTTGTAAAACCCGTCTGACGTACGTTAGTTTCCGGGGGAGGAGTTCCAGGGAGTCTCCTGGATTTAGTCCTGGACAAGGTCTGCTCGTTGATACTGCATGAACTGCATGAACGTAACTTTAGACACACTTAACATAATTACAAATTCTCAAATATTTTATCATTCAAATATTATCTTCGTTATTTTTTTATAGCTATGTAATAATCTTTCAGCATAATAATGCTTATTTTGAATCTTAACATGTATAATTATGTTAAAAGTCGAAAGATGTCGAGATATATTTCGAAAATTTCTTACATTTATTGCAAGAAGAAATTTAATCATCGCTTTGCGCTTTTGTAGATGACGCACGACGTGATTCGTCTCATGTACATACTACTCTTTCTCCTTTGGAGTCCCGGCGTGGTAAAATGTTATAACGTACCGTGTACATTCAACACAATGTGCATGTGTTGGGTCCAGGACGATGACGACGACTTTACGAAAATGGATATCAGTTGCATGGGAGTTCCATTCGCGCGTTTTCCTGGTTTGTCTGGATTCTCAGAATGCTATTCATCTATCATCTTCAGCTATCATTTTTTACTATCATCTGGCATAAATTACAAGATATAATAAATTAAGCACGATCTATACAAATTACTTCAGACGTATCGGTGAACTATGTGACTCAGCTGGATATTGTCGGCTCCGGGATGCAAGTGTTGGACAATGACGCGCTTGCAAGCTCCGCGGGTGTCGAAGCTCTAGGGTTGATGAGCAATCGATTATCCAGTATAGGTGACAAATCTCTATTGTAAGTTCAAGTTCTGCATTTCTTGCACAAAATCTACGTATAGGAGAAGTAAAATACGCAATTTTTCAAAATATTTATGTAAAAGATTATAATTCCTTTAAACGTCTTTTGCTTAAGAGGTATTACGGACAGCCTACGTTCACTGGATCTAAGCTATAACTCTCTCGAGGATGTACCCTTCAAGGCCTTCCGCGATCTAAAAAAATTGAATTGGCTGAATATGCACAGGTATGTCACAAATTTAGCAATCGCGCCTGCGAGAACATTTAATAACGTTGCAATTAAATGTAATATTAAGGAAACGATTCGTTAAAAGGAATTTTAACTAAAAGTATTTTTAGAGAGAACTGCGTTTTTATATGTGAATATAAAAAGCTTATAATTGCCTTGTATATAAATATAAGAGCGAACGTTCCTGTAACTTACTTATATGTAAATGTAAAAAGTATATCTTTCCGAAGAGAACCGGTAGTTAATAGATTCGCTCGTATAATTCACTGAATAATAAATACGGGAAGAATGTGGCGCTTTTGGTGAAAAACAAGACTCGCAGGCTGATATAATAAAATAAGACCTTCATTGGAGAAAAATTTGTCAATTGTCAGCAATCACCTAACATCGTTGGACGGCGACTGGGGCCGCACCAGAGACACTCTATCGAATGCGTTTTTTGGTGATAATTCGATCACAGAAGTCCCCAGACTCTTCTCGAGTTTCGGCGCGCTGGTGTGGTTGAATGTAGACAGCAACAACATCGAGGAGTTCCCTAAGGAATGCTTGCCGCCGAATATGCACACTCTGAGCATCAACAATAATCTTCTAAAGGAATTCCCGCAGTCTCTAGAAGGCCTGAAAGGCCTCACGTGGCTTTACATGAGAGGAAACAACATCAAGTACCTGGAACTGCCAGATTTCCGTAGTTCCAGTTTGGAGCTGATCGACCTCAGCGAGAATTCCATCGAGTGGATGAAGACAGCGACTTTGAGCAATCGCACATTGAAGGTGGTGGACTTCAATCTTGCCGGTAACAAACTGACCTCATTGCCAGGCAGAATGTTCGATCGCCTGGAGATCAAAAGACTGCACTTATCGTCGAACGGTATCAGGAACGTCGACGACGAAGCCTTTCACGGTCTGGAAGAGATTCTCGAGTATTTGAACCTGGAGAACAACGATTTGTCGGCGGTGCCAAATGCCGTTAGTCAATTGAGAACGTTATCGTATCTTTACTTAGCTAATAATGAGATTCGAAATATCTCTGGCGAGGCATTTCAAGAATTCGCAGAGCATCTGAAGGCTCTCTCTCTCGCGACTAACAGTTTGGACGCGGTACCAGTGGCCGCACTGTCCAGGTATTCTTACTTTTCTTACAAAATAATTTCTTCGAAAGCATCGACAATTATGGAAAAGGAAAGCAAAATTTCACAAAAATTGCCAACTAGTAGTAAAATTTATCTGATTTAATTTAACTTAATCAAGGATATTTTTATGTAATTTTGATTAAGTTAAATTTTAAATTGTTATTATCTTTGACATTATAGAGACATAACGCAGATGTAGAAATATAATTTCAACAAAAAGACGTTGATCAGTAACGATGTACTTTCCTGAAAAAAATATTTCTGTCCGATTTAATAATTCGTCAAACTAATAGCAATATTTAAATGGACGAAAGACGCATTATGCAGTGCTTTTGAAGTAAGGAATATGTAAGCCCGTTATTCCACGCGAGTTCTCGCGAAGACCGACTAGCCGATCGATCCCGCGCGTTCTTGTTCTACATTCTCATATGGAGTTCCTTGTTATAGATCGTAAAGGTCAAAATAAATCACACGACGCAGGAATACGGGCTATTAATATGAGATCTTAATAGCGGGAAACGAGCTGGATGCAATGTATACGATGATCGATTTTCGTAACAGATGCCAGAGGCTACTGCACCTGAATCTCGGTTACAACAAGATCTCCCACGTGGAGTCGGGTGATTTCGAGTGGGCCGAGGACCTTGAGATCCTGCTGCTCAGGAACAATGTCCTGACGAAACTGAAAGCTGAGACCTTCAAGGGGGCTGGTGCGTTGCTCGTGTTTTCTATTGCGAAAGTGTATTATCCGAGATAATCGGTACACGCACCGCAGCCGTTATTATTCGACGTAACATGTCATTTATACGCTATTATGAAGTTACTTACACCGTTTATACATCTACCTTTTCACACATATATTCATACGTTTAATCACAATTATAAACAATTCAAGTAATCTATGTGTCGCTATGCATGTGTGTGTGTTCCTTTTTTTAATTTTTCTTTCATTATATTTTTATTTATTTACATATATTTGTTAATGAATCTTTGTTTTTATCGGTAATATAATTTAATATGACTCTAAACATCAGTATAAGTATGACATAATTTTGATATGACTCTAAATGACTTTAAACGAAATGATAATATAATTTTGATTTCATTCTAAGCGAATAAAAATCGTTTCTAAGAAATGTTTTTGCAGGTAAATTGAAAGAACTCAGCCTGTCGTTTAATCACTTGACGGAACTCGACGACGACTGTTTCGTCGGTATCGAGGAGAGTCTGGACATTCTCGAGTTGAGCTTCGCCTTCGCCACGGATGTGTTTCCACAACGTGCACTCAGGCCGCTCACGAATCTTTTGTGGTTGGTTTTAGACAACAACAATTTTCAGACGATCGAGGCGACGGCTTTCTACTCCTTCCAGCAACTGCGTTACATCAGCATGGAGTCGAACAGGCTGCATTACTTGCCCGAGAGAATATTCCTTTCCAGCGTGCACCCCGAATTGAAAGACGTCAAGCTGGGATATAATTTCCTCGAAGCGATTCCGGAGTCGAGTTTCCATAATTTGACCGAGCTGCGTTCTCTTGATCTCACTGGAAATCGAATAAAGATCTTAGCGTCTGGCTCGATCATAGATTGCCCTAAGCTGGTGACCATATCGTTAGCTTACAACAGGATACAGAAGATAGAGAGGAACGCTTTCTACAGTCTGTCTAGCTTGCGTTTCCTTCACTTGGAGTTCAATAAGCTGACCGTGTTGGATTTGGGTGCCATCTCGGAGATCGGCGGCCCTGACTTCGCTTTGAACGTCTCCTTCAACGCGATAGCATTTATCGACTCAGGATCTTCGATGAATAATCTCACCAGACTGGATCTTGGATTTAATAATATCAGTCATCTTTCTCCGGATACGTTTTACGGCACGGCCGATTTGAAAAGTCTCAATCTGCGGAACAACTTTCTCACTACAATCGATCCAGGTGAGGAAATAGCTGTGTGGAAATTTAAAAACGTCTTTTGTGAGAGAGTTTCATAGTTCCAAATAAAGAAGAATGAAAATCATTTTTCTTCTAAATCACAAAATAATAAAATAACTCCTTGAAATTTTTTTGTTTTTGACCGTCGTTTCCAAAAACTCGGTTCTCAGCGATTTTCGAAATTCTTCTCTTTATCGGGAATTAAATATTTTTAGATCTATTTTCCGAAATACAAAGTAAACGTTTCTATCTCCAGGCAATAAAAACTTCAAGCATGATGAAATGTACGCGTATATGTTTCAGGAACGTTCGCGCTTCCTCACCTGGAAACTCTGGACATAAGCGAGAATAAAATCGACACGTTGCGCAAACAATCCTTCCACGGTCTGGAGTCTCTCCAGAGACTGGACTTGGGCGGAAACGAGATCACTCAGCTGTCGACCGAGCAGTTTAGGAACTTGAGGAGTCTGCGAATTCTAAATCTGTCGAACAATAAGATCCGATCGTTACCAAGAGACGTTTTCGAGGGCACCAGACTAGAGATCCTCGACTTGAGCCACAATAAATTCACTGCTGTACCCTCCGCGTCGTTTTTAGAGGTCGGCTATACTTTGAGAGATCTCAACATGGCAGAAAACTTCTTGGACCATCTAGACTCGACCGCTTTCCCGACTTCTCAGTTGGTGTCCTTGAATCTAGCGCAAAATCGCCTGACGATTCTGCCGGATAATTCATTCGTCTCCTTAGGCAAATTACTAAGCTTGAACGTGTCGCAGAATATTCTTCAGGCGAACTTCAAGGAACTGTTTCATTATTTGCCAGATCTCAGGCAACTTTATCTGGCCAATTGCGGTCTCAGGAGCATACCGTTGCTACCACTGACGAACTTAAATGTCTTGGATTTGTCTTTTAATAACGTTGACGAGACCACTGATAAACAGTTTCAGTATCTGGAAGGTCTGAAAATTCTCTTACTAGTCAATAATTCGCTGACATCGATGCCTAGTGTTAGACTGAATCTTTTGAGAGAACTCGACGTCTCCGGAAATCCTATCGAGGTAATTCTACAATTTCAACTTTTCTTAAAAATCATCAGAATTGAAATAAACAAACGACAAATTCTTAAAGTTTTCGAGGAAAATTTGTAGTTAGTAATAAAAAAATTTCGATAATTTCACTCGGTTGTTTCGCAGGAACTGACGAAGGAGAGTTTTCTGGGTTGCTTGCGACTGGAGAAATTAAACTTGAGAAACTTAAATCGCACCAGGTCAGTGGATAAGGACTGTCTACGACCCTTGAAGTACCTGAAACACCTGCGCATCCAAACGTGGCCGCAGGCTGACGGCTTTCATCTCCGTCACTTGCTATCCGGCTTACCGCTTCGAACGGTCGAGATTCAAGTGACGGAACATCTGCTGAAGCATCAGATACAGAACGCCTTTACGAAACAATTGAGAGAACTGACAATCACCGGAAGCGATCTCGAGCTGATCTCATCCGAGGCGTTCTCCACCATCGAAGGCGGCGAACTGATACTGCGAATCAAGGACACGCACATCCGCAGACTTCAGTCGGATATTTTTCTATCGTTGACGAAGAGACTGTCTCAGCTCACGCTGGATCTCAGAAACAATCACATCAATGAACTGAGTCCGTCGATAATCTACGGGAACCTCTCTTGGGAGACTGTAGGGACCAACATGGTGGCCGGTAAGCTCGCTTTTCGCCGTTTGCAGTCTTCCGTCGATAATTATTAATACTAGAATTGCCGATAACTAACGCATACCTTTCTACAAGAGCGGTCAAAATGACAGATTTGCGAAAAGAATACATAATGCAAGGTAGTAAGAGTATTTATTCATATCGCAACAAGTCACAAAAAATCTTATAAAACGCACCGTTTAAAGTAAATTCGAGTAATATTTTAGAAATTATAAACTAGTCATTTTGGCTGCTTTGGTAGTTCTAGTGTTAGTCGCATTGCTAAAAATCGATATTACGTTTGCGTCATTAGTAAAGTCGAACAAACATACTCACGGAACATGGTCTAATTAATTTAATAGTATCAATAATTGTTATTTAAAAATGATCTCAAGTAAGAGATCTCAGATTTAGGAGTTAGGCGCGAGTTAAATCGCAAAATGTCATCATAATTAAAAAACATAGATCCAAGTCTGAATAAAGACTTTGAATATTTCACATTATATCAATTTCAAATGACTACTAGTAACACAGGTTTAAGACTGGTATGCGCATCTCTGATGACAACCTCTCTCTTTTTCTTTAGGTGGGCTGCAGGTATCCGGAAACCCGCTCGAGTGCGACTGCGAGATCGCGTGGCTGAGCCTCTGGCTGCGCAGGTGGCTGAGAGAGTCCCGGCAGATCCACACGGCGTCGCAATCCGACGCCAGACAATTGAGAACCATAGCCGGACGAGCCGTGTGCACGGAGACCACTCCGTCGTACTCGTCCGACAAGGTCCTGCTGACTCTGGGTACTCCGCACACCGCCTGCCAAGCGTCCGCCCTCAGCTCGGGGAATTACGAACGCTTGGCGACAGCTTGGCTGGCCTTCGTCAAATTCTTCATCCTCGTTTTCGTCGTCAATTAATTCGCGCAACAACAAACAGCCGTTTCATCGACTCGAAATCGACTTCAAAACGTCGTTTTCAACATCAGCTGTTTTCATTCCGAAGCGTGGACGACGAAATTTTGCGTTAATCGGGCCTCTTCTCGGGGAAAGGACTGATATTTCGCCCGAATGTAGAATTCTATTCCAAAGTGGAACAAGGAAAGTACCGCGACTCGTTTAGTGCATTGTCAGATTTAATTTTGCGACAGGTGTGCGATTGCCTGTACGGATTACCAGCTCTTCAGCAACACCAGGACAGTTTTCGCAAAGCCCCCTTTCATATATTGCGCGTAACGCAGATGAATATTTATGTTCCATACGCGTTGCACACCTTTCGCGCGATTTAAATGATGTAACATTATGATTCGGTATATCGTGACTTTCACTTTAAATTTCTCACTATCGCTGAGACATAAAGAAAGCATCGTACATTACGTAAGCGTCAGGATCTCCTTCACGTGTGATGTGTTTCTAAATCAAAAGTTTCTAGTAATTTAAGTGATTGTGCGCACACGAGGAGCTAAGAGAGAATTTATAATATTGAATTTACGTAGATGAGAAACGTAGATGTAAAGATATTTCCAAGAAACAGTGTGATTTTTTCATGTAAGGTTAACAATAAAAGTATAATTGAATTATTACGACCGATGTATCTCGATGCTAGTTTCGCGCCGATCGACGCTCGAAGAAGTGCGGCAGAAAGAGAAGGAGAATCACATCCGTCCTTCAAAATAATGACGTTTCTTCCGAAAAGAGAATTTGTTTTTATTTACAAACACAATTGTCATGATTTCGTTTGTGCTTTATACAGATGGCGAAGGTAAAAATAGACAGGAATGGAGGAAGAGAATTCTTAGGAAGAAGCAATAAAGAAGTATAGACAAAATAAGGTACTCGAGAGAGGGATAATAATGGGACAAGAAATTCGTGAACGTTAAATCCGTTGTTAACGCGCGATGGTAATATTACTCACTTAATCTTGCGAATTAACGAATGATATCTCGATAATGGTTACTTCTCCTCGAACTTCTTTCGCGTCGTGTTTATTTTACAGTTTCGCGGGGAATTTTACTTTATTTTACGCTTCTTTCTCTTCTATACGGGCGGCGCCTGCGTGTGCTGCAAACAACCCTCAACATTCTCCGGCCAGTCGCAGACGTTTTCGTTGGGGTTGAAGACCAGATTCACGGGACAGGGCATGTGATGCTTGCGCTCGCCTTCGCACATATAATACATCGTGCAGTCGTTCTTGTCCGCGTGGTAAGATATATGATTGTCCTCCTCGTCACACATCACTTCGTTCGCTGCAAAAAATATTCGGGCGAAATAGGTAACGTTCAATTCGCGAGTACCTCTAAAAAGAAATAGCGTTCTAAACAATGTACGATAATTTACAGGAACGAATATGCTTCCCATCGTATACGCTGAATAAACACTTTGGTTTTTATTACAGGATGCTTCAAGAAAGAGTTAATATTTTTTTGAAGCACCTTGTGTATCGATTAAATAATGTTTGGAGGATACTTACGATCCTTGGTAGTGTACTTTCCGTTTCTCGAGGTGCTCTCGTAAGGACCTTCGTATTCTAATTTGACTTTGTAGCCCTGCAGCTCCTTCTTCATCGCCTTGATCAGCGGATACTTTCCAGCTCCGCAGGATCCTCTGAAGTCGTCCATGTCGACCGACCAGATCATGACACCTCCAAAGCCTTCTTCTTTAAGCCACGACATCTGTAAGAAAAAAACATAATTTTAAATGTTGAGAGCCTATTGACACATTTGACAAAAATTCCGAAAGTGTATAATAGATATCGCAAAAATTGCGTCGTTACAACACATCTTTCCGCTGTACCTTGTTAATGAGACTTCTTTCGTCGTCGAATCCGACCCATTGATCGTCTCTGTACGCGAACGGTACTTGCTGCTCGCTATCCCACACCAGAGTCGTGTTGTCTTCGTTTAAGAAGCTGCAGACCTATTTAAGAGATTGATGTTAATTACAAAATTGAAAGACGTACTTCTTCTATGCTACAGCTACAATTGTGTGAAATATAACATAAAATATGAGAGATGTAGTGCTCAGACTTTTACATCATAGTTGTAAATATACAAACAGATACTGCCGAATACAAAATTACTGAGATTGAACCAAGTTAGAAATTAATGAAGAAAATACCACTGCAACATACCTCGTAGTAGGACAAGAATCCGGATTCGTTAGTGAAGTTACCCGCCACACCGCCGCCGGATGCAGGTGCGCCGATGTCAAATTTCTCCTTGTCGACTAGCGTAAAGGACCTGCCATACGTGGGCATTCCGATCATGAGCTTTTCTTTCGGCGCTCCTTGCTTCACCCATTCGCGCGCGCTGTAATCCTATGAAAAAAGCGCGGAAAATTTCACAACCGCGTCATGTCTCGATTTTAATGCTGACGCAAAATCCTAGACAGCACAAAATCTTCAAAGAATGTTCTGGGACGTTCTTAATATGAATGAATGTCCTTAGAACATCCCTAGAACGTTCTTGGAAGATTTGTGCTGTATGGGGCGTTTCTTCTTATCCTTACCACTGTCAGCTTCTTTTGATAACTGGTAGCACTCTCCAGAGGATACAACGGACTGTTGTGGCCGACCTGTCTCTCCCACTGGCCGTGGAAGTCGTATGCCATCACGTTGATGAAGTCTAAGTACTTAGATATTTCAGGGACGTCGTATCTAGAAAAGTAAATATCTCTTTTACACTCTGACGAAAGCAAAAAATTCTTATATGTTAAATTGTGCAGAAATCAACACAAAATATTTGTAATTTCTTGTGCTGTGTTTATTTCAATTTTTTTTATGTTAATCGCATCTAGAACGCTCACCCCGCAGCGATGGCTTCGAAACTGGCGGGCACTGCGGCCGACAGGATTAATTTCGGCTGGCCAGAACTCTTTGCCTCGCCTTCGAAAGCCAGCCTGAGTTCCTTCAATAAATTAACGTAGGCGGTTCGATCGTCGGATCCTCTGCAAAAAGAATTTCGACTTTTTAATAAGACTTTTTAATCAGATCTCTCTCATTTATATTACCGCATTAAGAAATATTATATATCTCTCGTGAAAAGAATCTGCGCGCGTTAGTGAATTTTTGAAACACAAAATATGAAATAAACCTCGGGTATTCCCAGTCGACGTCCAACCCGTCGAATTTATATTCTCGCAAGAAATCGATAGCCTCGTAGACGAATTGGTTCATTCGGAAGGTGTTGCTGGTAAGTTCCTTGAAGGGCGTTGAGCCGAATGCCCATCCTCCGATCGCAAGCAGAATCTGAAAATGTAGATATATATGTGAGATACAAAATACAAGATATACGTCAACAAATTTTAACAACGTATTATTAATCATTAGTTTAAACTACCCGGTGTTGCTCGGGTTATTACAAAATGTCAAGAGGATAAAATAAGGGGGAGGATGTTTAGGTTTCATGGTAGTCTATATTTTCCTAGAAAGTAATTGTGCAAAATTAGGTCTAGATCGGTCGAAAGGTTCAAGAATTAATAGGAATTAATAGATATCATATTATATATAGATTACAACGACATTAGAAAATATTGTGCAATCTGCAAAAATATATGGCGACCTTAATATCAGGATTCTTGTCGCGGAGTGCGATCAATCTGTGATACATTTCAGCATCTTTGTCGCTTCCTTCAGTAAGCAGGTGATCCTTCAGAGTGGCGAATGCGTACACCACGTGAGTGCAGAGAGTGGAGTCGATATCTTCTGGACTGAATCGTCCCATTCCCGGCCTTTTGTGCGACCAATTCGTCAAGTAACAAATGGTTTGCGCTTCTCTCTCTGCCAATGTGTAAGAAAACTTTCGTTATGGTTTCACTAATCTCCACGGAGGTAAAGAAAGAAAGAGAAACTCTATCGTATCTCTTTCAATTACAACTTTAAATATTAAAAAAATGAATATATATCACGTAAAGAAAAAACATTTTTACGTATTTAACACAGAATATAAAAAGACAATCTGAATTTTAGGAACTGAATTGCGAAGGAGCACCTTGAGTCGGAATGTTGATGACGAGTTGCGTGGACTTTTGGAGCTTCTTCGATTTACTGAGGACCTCCGAAACGGAGATCTTGTAAGGCTCGGGTTTCTTTATGATCGTCTCCGTGATGGTGGTAGCAACTGCGCTCCAGTCGATGTCCTTGGCACTGGAACCTCGTGAAATACCCCTAAGCTCCTCCCTCATCGCGCCGATCAACGGATACCGTACGTTCCCGCCGCAAACGGTGCCGTTGAAGTCGTCCATGTCGACCGTCCACACCATCGCACCGCCGTAACCTTTGCTCTTTAGCCAGTGCATCTTATTCCTGATGGACTTCTCATCGTCGAAGCCAACCCACTGGTCATTGTACACCAAATAAGGTACCTTCATCTCATCGTCCCATACGTACGCGGCGCCGTTATGCAACATTTCGCAAATCTATAATTGAAAAATGATCAAATTAATCTGAGAGACTTTAATTAAAGCGGGATTCTTATTCTTTATCAAATTTATCGTCTTTCACATAATCAAGCGATACAGCGTAATGAAAATTACTGTGTTCGTTTAAAATAATGCAAAATCCAACGCGTTTTTTTTATAATTGTGTAAAAATATTGTCTTTATATTCTTCCAAAATATCTACCAACAACTTTCTTCTTCTCTTTTAACTTCACATAGGTCCTTATGATCTTTGGAACATTTAGGATTACAATTTTTTACACTCAATTATGTTCGTATTCTTTTCTTAACTCTTTTCCTCTCTCCTAACTGACGAAGTCGTTATTATGTGTACATATCGATATATAATTTATCATATGTTCGACATATACTGCTCGCCGCGAACGCGAGATTGGAAAGTACCTCGTAGTACGCGAGGAAACCGGACTCCTTGGTGTATTCGCCGGCTTTCCCGCCGCCATTAGCCGGAGAGTGTACACGGAAATTGGCCGAATTCGAAAGGGTAAAGGATCGGCCGTACGTGGGCATGCCTATAATAAGTTTTTCCTTCGGTGCTCCGAGCTTGACCCACATGGTGGCCGCATTGTCAACGCTCAATTGTTTCTGCCATTCCGAGTCCAGTGACGAGGCGTACAGCGGGGCGTTGTGACCGGTCTCTCTTTCCCATTTCCCGTGGAAGTCGTAGGCCATGAGATTGATGAAGTCCAGGTAACTAACCGAACAAAAAAGTTCTTTTATACGAGTACTATCGCGACGTCGATAAGAGCGAAACGAAAAACCTGTGTCACAGCGATTTAGAACTTTGCGATTTGAGAAACTGAAGAAAAACACACCCAGTAGCTGGCACTCGTTACAACACTCACCACACTTTTCGGCATCCTTGTTCGGACCCTACCTAATATCAAAGGGGTGTATGGAAGGATTTATTAATTTTTATTTTTATTTACTTGTTTCTTTTTAAATCCCCATACTCCTTAACGTCCGCGTAAGAATGCCGAAAATAAGTGGAGTGTCGACTATTGAACAGATATTAAAAATAATTTTACAGCAGATTTAAAGCT